GGAAGGAAGGAAGGAAGGAAGGAAGGAAGGAAGGAAGGAAGGAAGGATTTATGTGTTTATGTGTACTTTAGTGTGTATGTACCACACATATGTACAAGTGCCTGTGGAGGCCACTAGAGGGCATTGGGTCCCCTGTTTTTAACCACTAAACCGTTTCTCCAGCCTTCCATGCCTACTGATGCCTGCCCTAGAGCTCACTGAGTCAGCTAGGCTGGCTGGCTATAGAGTCCAAAGCCTGATGACATGAGTTAAATTCCTGGAATGATGGAAGGAGAGAACCAGCCCACATTCTTTTTTCAGAGCAGAATAGCCAGGATAGTAATGAGAGTGAGTACAGAACTGGCAAAGGAGCCAGATGTGTAGTACATGACAGTAATTCTGGGATCTGAGAAGTGAGATCAGGAGGAGCAATAGTTCAAGCCCAGCCCCAGCTACATAATGAATTTGAGGCCACTCTGAACTACATGAGACCTTCTCTCAAAAGCTGACATACAAAATGGGCTGGAGAGACGGTTCCGCCGTTACGAGGATGTACTACTCTGGCAGACCATGGGTCCAGTTCCCAGCACTCACATTGGCTGTTCCCAAGTGCCTATAGCTCCAGTTCTAGGGGATCCACAATCCTCTTCTGGCCTTCATGAGACACATGTACATACATGGTACATATAAACATGCAGTCACACTTACATAAACATCAACAGTAAATCAGGTTTTTGTTTTGTTTTTAAATATCATACCCATGAACTGTCAAAGAATTCAAAATATCTATCCATTCAAAATGCTGTCTCTTCTGGAATTCCTTGAAGAAGTTTTTTCATGTTCTTTAAGCCTGGCCACAGATCATCGAATTTCAAAGAATTTGATGAGATCTAGGAGATATGTCAGTCTAACCAGCAGTTAAAAAGTACACTAGAATTTCATGAGTATGTGCTTCATTTTCAGATTTATAATTAGTAACTGGCTATTTGACTTTATGCAAATTAACTTTCTCAATTCGTCATTTTTTAATTTTCATGTTTAAAGCCTAAGGATGTTAATTTTTTCTTTATAGGGTTCTTTCAAAGTTCCGTGAGATATTATAAATGCTGGTCAATGCTTGATGTGTATTGGATATTCAATAAATATTAATTGAATCTGAGCACTGCAGGAAAACTCTTTCAGAAACAAGCTCCTGAATATTTTAATTTACAAGAGATTTCCCTTAGCCAGGTAGGTGGTGCACACCTGTAATCCTAGCCCTGGGGAGGCTGAGAGAGATTTCTGGTCTAATAGGCCAATCTGGCCTAATAGGGGGAGTATCAGGGCAGCCAGACTATGTAGCAAGATCTTGTCTCAAATGAATAAACAAATGAAAAAATAGAGAGAGAGAGAGACAGGAGGGAAGGAGGAAGAAAGAAGAGAAGAGAGAGAAGATGAGAGAAAGGAGAGAGGAGAGAGAGAGATTGAGATTTTCCAGATCATCAGTGATATTTAGTGAGTGTCAGTTGCACAAAATTCCATGGTGTTTACTTAACCAGCAGCACTACCGCCCTGAGAGGAAGAAATAGATGCTAGAAATGGATGCCAGGAGAAACTAACCATTGGGTGACTCCCTATTATGGGTGTAGCTGGAATGTACCTCAAGCATGCATGCTCTCCAATCCTCTTCCGGACTGGTTTGTTTTTTGTTTTGTTTTGGTTTTTTGGTTTTTTGAGACAGGGTTTCTCTGTGTAGCCCTGGCTGTCCTGGAACTCACTCTGTAGACCAGGCTGGCCTCGAACTCAGAAATCCACCTGCCTCTGCCTCCCAAGTACTGGGATTAAAGGTGTGCGCCACCACCGCCTGGCTGGTTTTTTTTTTTAAGTTATCAAGATAGAACACTATTCCTGCCCATGCTGACCCCCATGCAGACCCCCATGCTGACCCCCATGCTGCCCCCCATGCTGACTCCCATGCAGACCCCCATGCTGACGCCCATTCTGATGTCCATGCTGACGTCCATGCTGACACCCATGCTGATGCCCATGTTGATGATGACCATTACGATCTCAGGACACAAACGGTCCTCCAAGGCCATCTTAACCTCCCTAATTCCATCTCCTCCTTTCCCTCCTTTGACTAGATGCTTCTGCTGCTTACTCTAACTCACGTTAGCCCAATCGAACTACCTGTTGTAAAATATAATGTTGGAACAGGAGGATGGGATGGAGCAGGCAAATGGGGCAAATGCTGTATACGAGGCAGTTAGAAACAGCATCTGTTAAAAAGCACTGGCTTGCTTGGACCCATAAGATAACTAAAAGCAGGCAGGGTAACACCTAGCATCTCTGTTTTCATTTTGTGTCTGCCTTCCTGTTTTGGGTTGCCTAGTTACCCTTGCATGTAGGCATGTTCACCATTCAAGGACTTATCGCCCTTTAGGGATAAAGGCATAAAACATCAGAAACATCTTATAGTCTCAGCTTTTACAATTACTCCCCAAAGGCACCTGTGGGCACCTTAGATTCCATGAAAATCATCAGATCACTTTCCAGATGAGGGCATCCCGTTCAGGGTGGGGAGGATGCCTCTTGGAACATGCGCAGTTATCTTCTGAGAATGATATTACCCCCTCAGGTAAAAGGGACACTTTGGACCAACTTGCAGAACCAGACTGAAAGAATGACCAGCCAGGACACATCGTGACCAGGATTGCTCAATTATACATACAAGAATGCTTCTTGCCCCAGTTCTTCTGCTTGAATCTAAAGCTCATGTGGGCTTATTGGCTCCTTTATCTGAACCTTTTCTGGGTGTGTGCGTTAATGAAGTCTATCTCTGCTACTCACCTTTACTCCTCTGTTTATGTTAGAGGCGCCACACCCGGTGTGATTTATTACCTTTTCTGCCATAAATTAGTAAAAAACAAACAAACACCCACAAAACCTCCTGTATCGTAAACTGGCTGATAAACTTCCCTCTGCTTCAAGTGCTGAATGGGATTACAAGCATGTAACACCACATCCAATTTATACATTGTTTGGAATTAAATCTAGGGCTTTGTGTGTGCTTGAGTAAGCAAGCACTCTACCAGCTGAGCTACAATTCCAGTCTCTTAGCTTTTATCTGTCTTCCATGAAAAGTTTGAAAAGCTGAAAGGCTTTCACATTGTGCTTTCCATTAGTAACCAAGGGAATAAGAAAAGCCTTGCTCTGTATTATGTGTCTTTTTTACAAAAGCTCCACCATGCAAGAAGGAAACCTATTACCAAAAAAAAAAAAGCCCCTAGACAGGCTTTCTACTTTCCAGAGGGTCGTGGGAAAGTATATACAGGAGCAGAAAGCATTTTTCTTAGCCTAATCCTGGTATCTGTAGCCTGTTATAACACTTTTCCCATTCTGAAGGACCGGTTCCGTATGTCTGGAGCCGCGCCCTTCTCCCTCGAACTACAACTCCCAGCATGCAGTCTGTCCCAAGAGTACGCACGCGCAAGGGCGGGGACAGAGAAGTGGGGAAACCAGCAATCCAGACAGCGCGGTCGGGTTTAGGGGCAGCTGGCGGGAGGATTCGGTAACTCCCTGAACTTGAGGCGCCGCGGAGTGTGGGCGCAGGGAAGAGCGAGTCAAACCTTGCGGACTGTGCAGTGGGTCGGCGGCCAGACAGGTGAGTTCGGCACGGCGCTTTTCAGGAAGTCCGTCGACGGGCGCGACAGCGAGTCGCTCCGGCCTGGGCGACGGAGAAGGGAGCGGCTGTGCTTCCCGCGCCTTGCCCGCGGGCCTCGCTAGAGAGCGGAGAGAGCCGGGCCGTTCCGGGACGGCGAGGTGTGCTGGGTGTCGCCCGCGGCCAGGCACGCAGGCTCAGGGCTGTGGGTGAGTCACTTGCGGCCAGCCAGCTGAGGTTCCGGACTGGCCGACTGGAGTTCGAGACCCATCACCTAGTGTTCGGGACCGGCTAACTAGGGTTCAGAACAGACCAGATAGGGTTCGGAACCGGCCGGCTGGGGTTCGGGGCCCGCCACCTAGTATTCGGGACCGACCTCCTCGAGTTCGGGACTGTCTACGTAAGATTTGGGAATTGGCCGTCTGGGTTTGGGACTGGCCAGTGCTCCGGAACCGGAGTGGCTGGGAAGCTGTCTGGGAAGCGCCTTGCCTCACCGCCCCTCTTACCCCAACCATCTTCTCGCTGCCTGGCTGTTGTTGGTTGGGAGGAAACCCACAAAACTTGGGGCACAGTCTCTTTGTGATTGAAATCTGGTGTCTTGCATTGACCATATCTGCTCTGCTCTGCCTTAGAATAAATTTCTGGCTCTCGTGCCGCACAGCTGGGGCCGGCTGTAAAGCTGATGCGGGTTTGTTTTGAGGACGTGACTGTGTCGTTGTATCTTTGCTTACAGAAGTTGATGCGTTTCCTCCACAAGCCTGCATCCTGATTACAAACAGAAATGGGAAACAGCCCCCAAATTTTTACTTTTCTTTCTCGTCTCTTTCCCCCTCTCTTTTCTGTTTTCTCGTCTTCTCGTTCGTGTTTAAGAGTCCCCTTTCCCCTTTCGAATCCACCCCCCGCCCAGTTCCCTTTTACTTCTCCCAACCTCCCCCCCTTCTCTCTTGTCTTCTAAGAATCACATTCCCAACTTGACCTCTGCTTCTCTTTTAAAAAAAAAAAAACAGTCGTCTATTTGGTAATGAACTCTGCAGTAAAACTTATCCCAGGAGGTCATACTTAAACAGGAAATGAGCCTGTGGAGATTTGCTGGCTATGTGCAGTCTTCTTTGGTTTCTGACATTTTAGTGCAGTTCATGTTTCTTTTACTGAAAAATTTTCAGAATAGTTTTTTTTGGCATATTAAATTGGTTAATCAGTTGACTTGTCATTATTTCAGAAGAATACTCCTTTTCAGAAACTCCTTGTTCTTAATTCTCTTCCTAGTCCTAGTCTACACATTTTACACACACACATATCTCTTTTTGATATTTTGAGCCAGTCTCACTGTGTAGCCCAATCTGGCCTTTAAGCCTCAGCTTTCCAGTGAGTCTGGCCATCTCTATAATGTATTAAGAGCTGATAGTAGGCCCGGGAGAGAAGGCTCAGAAGGTAAGAACACTTAATCCCATCTCTGGCTCTATATGTGCAATCCATTGTATTCCAGTCTTAGAACATCCTTGCCTTGCATCTCTCAGCATTTGTAGTTTATCTTAGAATGAGATTGGTGGTAGCCAGGTAACCCATGATTATCCTAGCCTTCTCTGGGGTGTGTGCGTGTGCGTGTGCGTGCGCACGTGTTCACATGTGTGAACGTGCATGCAGAAGCCTGGAAATTGATGTAATGACCTCCTGAATCATATCCACTGAACCATATCCCTATTATTATTAAGCAATTTATCTATTTGGGAAACCTTGGCTATATGTATTCATTCAACCCCTGTTCTAGACAGGAACGACCAAAGGTGTCTTCTTGAGGATGTTACTGCCCTGTAGCTGAATTTTCTTTCATCTTTGTGGTAGGCTGTCAGGCCATGCTTCACCTGATATATGCTTATAGGTCAGATCCCATCACAATTCTTGGTTTTCTGTGTAATAACAATTTTTTTTCCAGGCTAGAGCTATAGCTCAATAATTAAAGGCTTGCTTAGCATGTATAAGGGCTTAGGTTCAACCCCAGCACCACAAAAGCAAAAAGGTAATTTTCAACTCCCAGCAACTAGCTTATTTAAACAACAAGTTCAGTACAACAGAAAGAACCTAAGGGCCTACACCATGTAGGGGCAACACTTTTCACACTCAACGTACATAAAGCATGACCATGCCTGTTCATTTTGAAGTGGAGTTTAAAATGTGCATATTTTAAGTAGAAGTTACACTTTGAAAACCAAGATGGGGGCTGGAGAGATGGCTCAGTGGTTAAGAGCACTGACTGCTCTTCCAGAGGTCCTGAGTTCAAATCCCAGCAACCACATGGTGGCTCACAACCATCCATAATGAGATTTGATGCCCTCTTCTCATCTGTCTGACGATAGCTACAGTGTACTCATAAATAAAATAAATAAATCTTAAAAAAAAAAAAAGAAAACCAAGATGGGAAGATAATTTTAAAAAGACGTTTTAAGATGCTTATAATGGTTCTTTTAAGACGGGTGTTGATAATTGTAATATCAGATACAGGACTTGTCTAATTTTCAATCAAAAAAAATTTGTTTGAGACAGGGTCCCACATAGCCTCCATAGACCTCCAATTTATGATGTCCCCAAAGCTAGCCTTGAACTCCCGCCTCCACATCCTGAGTGCTGGGATTACAGGTGGATGCCACTGGGCCAGCTTCTTTTTCTGCACACTCTCAGCTTTCTTCCTCTTTTCTTCCATCCTCAGTTATGTGTGTTCATGCTTACAGTAATTAACTAATTCAGCAAGTATGTATCTTATTCTGTCCTAGACACTGGGGTTCTTGATGTGTAAGATAGGATTCCTGTTTGGAAGTTTACTTTCTTTGGAACTATGCCTATGTTCTGCTTCAGAGCACTTTGGAGGGAATAAAAACACGTGGTAGTTCTGTGTCCGAGAGGGAACAAATGAAGTCAGTCTGTTTCCACATAGCCCCATCCATTCTCCCAGGCCTTCCCTTTCTGTTGTGTTGGAGTGTGTGTAGTATATCAGTGCAGAGCACAGTATAATGTACATTTACTTGGAACTTAAGATGAGTTGAATACAGGGAAATCAGCTAGCTCCAAGCACTGTGATCAGTAGGTTTGTGTTTGCAGGTACCACAGGTTAGAGATCAACAGAGGGAGGCGAAAGGTGAAAGGGGAAGAGACAGAGGAAGACAAGATGGACATAGTGGGAAAAAAATGGTTTCTGTTAGTGGTTCGAGTCAGTCTGTACTCTGCTGTTATTGTTTAAGCTTGAATCATGGACTTCCTGCCTTCACTCCCAGAGTTCCAGGATTATGAGCATGTGCCACTCAGGAATCTTTGTTTCATTTGTGACGGGTTTTACTTTGTAGTCCAGTCTGACCTGGAATTCACCGTGCACCAGTTGTTTGCACAGGCTCTGCAAGCAGCCTTCTCCACTCAGCCTCCCAAGTGCTGAAGTCAGGAATGTGAACCGCCACACCCTTCTCGGATTTCTTGATTTGAAGAGTCCAGGAGGGCATTATTGTACAGGCTATGATAGTAGCTGAAGTGTGTGTGGGGCTTACTGGTCATTGACCCACCTGTTGACATTTGATTACGCTTGCTTTTCTCAGACCATTTAAAGTCCTAAGTGTGAAATTATATTGAAAGGAAAACAATATAGAAAACATTAATATTATTTAATTTGTGATGGTCCAGTAACTTGTTAGATATTAAAATTGCAGTCAAATTCTGCTTGCTAATTATAAAAAGAGTTTAAATCTGAGCATACGTTTTTGTGTCTGCCTGAATTCATTAGTGGACATATATGTATGTATATATACTCACACATTTTGTGTGGAAGCCGGTAACTTTTGGAAGACAAGGTCTCTCTACACAGCCCAGGCTAGAACTCACTGTGTAGACCAGGCTGGCCTCAGATTCACATAGATCTTCCTGCTTTTGCCTCCTGAGTACTGGGATTAGGGATATGTGCCACCGTGCCAGGTTCTACTTTATCTATCTAAGACATTTCTTACTGAGCTTGGAGCTCCCTGAGCTCAAGTCAGTAAGGCTGACGTCGATCACTGAGCCCTGGGATCCTCCTGTCTCCTCTTCCCCAGCTCAGGGGTTACAAGCACACACCACCTGACTTACATGGCTACTGGGGAATCAAAACTCTGGTCCTGTGCTTTCATGGTGAGTGCCGGCTGCGTCATCTCCACACACCTCTGTCACTTTGTTTTGTTTTGACACTTAGTAGAAATGAAGGAATAGAGGTTTTAATAATCTGAAGTGGTAACAGTTGAAAGTGTATGCATTATGGTACTCTAAAATTTCTTTTGAAACAAAGTCATTACCCTGTATCTTGAAAATAGAATTTTACATTTATCTATCTATCTATCTATCTATCTATCTATCTATCCTTATTTAGTGTGTGTGTGTGTGTGTGTGTGTGTGTGTCTACCCAGGTATAACGATGGTGTGTTTGTGGAGGTCACAGGACGATCTGTGAGAGTCAGTTCACTCCAGCCTGTGGATCCAGGGAATTTAACTCAAATCATCAGGCTTGGTGGCAAGGGCCTTTACTTGCTGAGCCATATTGTTGGTCCCACCATGAACCCGTATCTTGAAGTAGAATGCTGCTCTTTTTATAATTTGTGTTTCTTCCATCCTGAGCAAAAAAAATTGACCTATCCTTAAGGCTATAAAGATACTCTGGTTTCTTTACAGGGTCTCATATACCCTAGGCTGGCCTCAAACTCAACTATGTTTCAAAAATGACATTTTCTCACGAGCAGTCAGTAAGTCTCTGGAGACTTGATATAAATTGAATTACTTAACAAGTGATCCTTTGTGACTGGCTTCTTTCACTTGTACTGTTTGTTGTTGTTAGAAGTCACTGTGTAGTTCAGGGTTGGCCTGGAACTTATTGTGTAGCCTAGGCTCTTTAATTGTAGCAGAAGGGTCTCGGGCTTTGACGTGCTAGAATTATGTCTGGCTTTGTTCCCTTTTTTTCCTTTTTAAATTACATTTATCTATTTTGTATGTGTCTTTGC